TTTTTAAATTAATTTAAATACAGTAGTATTATGAAAAAATTTCCAAATTATACGGATTGTGATTATTATATGATTTCTTAATTTTAATTATAATTTCAAGTAGCTTTAGTAAATTATTGTTTGAGAAGTATATACCTGTACCAAATGCTTGGAACCTTGATCAACTTTAATATTCGTATCTCGTGTATGTCCGAATGCACCCATACCTTCTTGTGTTTGTAGTGCAGGTAAATTCTCCCAAGGTATTTCGAACGGAATAAAAACATCTCTTAAATTTGAAAACTTTATACTTATAACTAAAGTAGAATTATAAATGTAACATTTTTTTTTTTTGAATATCGATTAATATTGAAAGAAATAGTTGAATGAAATAAAATTATTTAATATATTTTGAAACATTTACAAATGTTGCGGTTTTCTAGCATATCGTTTTGTCGGTGGAATTTTTTCTTCTTTCAATATTTCAGCTAATTTCTTCTCTTCCGGTGGCATTTCATACGGTTCCGGTGGTGGTCTAGGCGGTGGAATCCATTGTGGTTTCGGTTTCTTCTGAAAAAATTCAATCATTGTGTGGAAAATGAAAAAGCTATGAAATTAGAAAATGATGCGTTTTTTTTTTTGATGATTTAAGACAGTCAATGATAATAAAGTTTGAGAAGATGAGAATTGGGATATCACAACCGTGGTGAAGAAATGATTAGAATTTATCAGTTTGGTTTGTAAGTTTAATTGAAATGTCTGCGGTGAAGGTGAAACAAAATGGAAGAAGAATCGATTGACGAATATGAATTGAGAAATTGACCTTTTTTTGTTTCGGCTTCCTCTTTGGCGGTATATTTTCATTGTCTTCAGGCTATAAAATTTTTCGATTATTTATCAAATGCTGTAAATTCATTTTTTTTAAAATACAATTTTCAATTCAGTGTATATTATTGATAAATGAAACGGAGGGGAATCGAAATTCAATGAAATGATGAAAAATATCGCTTAATAGTTAAGTTAATAACTTTATTTTTAATTTTAGAATTATCGAGAAGTAAATGTTACCTCGGTAATCATTTCTGGGGCGGAGTTCTCATCCAGTTCCTCCGGTTCATCTTCTTTTTTGTTTTTCGGTTTTTTCTTCAATAAAGGTAACGTGGCATCAGTTTCCGGTTCAGGACTGTCTAATTTAACTTTGAGAGGATTTTTGGGTTTAATCGCTGAACCTTTGGGTTTTCCGGATTTAACATTAGGTTTCTTAGGTTTGGGAACAGAGTCCGGTTCAACCTCCTCATCATCAGGATTTTCTGGTTCTTCTTCGGGTTCGACATCTGATTCTTCGGGTTTTGCTTTTGATTTTTTCTTCGGTTTTGACAATGGAATTGTTGCATCTACCTCGGGTTCAGGGCTACTTTCCGTCGGTTTCACTTTTAAAGGTGTTTTCGGTTTTGCACTATCCGGATCTTTTAG